GGCGCCCGCCCGCCGCGTAGGCAGTCACACAGCGATTGTCGCGATAGCAGGAGTTGCATTCTCACCTTTACTCCATCCGCTAAAGCGAGTCGAACCGGCTGGACTTTGCCTGTGCACTGTGCGCCTAGAGTAGCCAAGTCGAGCAGCAATGTCGAATTTGGTCTGGGACTGGGTCTACAGACAGAGATCCCTCGGTCGCCCATGGTGTAGGCGGCCCCGCTTGGCACAGGTGTCTGGCGGGACGGACGGCCTACCCAGCGCTCAGCGGGCGCTCTGCTGCCGCTGGGTGGGTAAGCCTCGGCAGGAGAGGCAAGTGCGACAGCAGTGCGAAAGCGAGCTCTATTCGAGTGACGCCAAGGGAGATAAAACGCAGGGAGGAGAGAGGGGGAGTAGGGGGAGTCCTCTTTACCTCTTTACCTCTCTCTCTCTCTCTCTCTCTCTCTTTCTCTCTCTCTCTCTCTGACGCCACGCCAGCAGTCTGCTCCCTCTGGCCCAATTTTATGCGCGCGCGCGCTCCGCAGCGGATCGCTGGTATCGAGTTTTGTTTTCCCCTCCGTTTCGCTCACTATCGCCGCCGCGGAGGACGCGATCTGGGAATAAATAGTGGAGCGCGTCCCAAGGTCGCGCAGCATGGTAGCGCCGGCGGGTCCATCTAGCCATCTACCTATCTCCCTTCGCCCCGTTGGAGCGAAAGAGTATATACTTGCCGGGATGCAGTCACGCGGCCAGGTTTGCCAATGGAATCCTATCACACCTTGTTAGGATCCCGAGAGAATTGGCTGCACCCAGAAAAAAGGGAATCTCATTTCAAGGGCACGCTGACAGAGGAAAAAATTCACTCTTGAAACAAGTCAATATTGTCTTTGAAATAAGTTTTTTTTTCTTGTTGGAAAGATAATATCACCTTTATTTTAAGAGTAAAGTTGATCTTGGGTCTGCACGCTCTTGAAACAAGACACAGTATTTCTATGGGTGCGCACCCCCTGGACCCAAGCAAGTATACGAGGGCGGACAGGCAATCAGGGTTTTCAAATTTCCTAACTTTTTCCCGCCATTACTCTGTCTTCCATGTAACACGGCCACCCTGTTTACCCATTCGCTCCCGACGGGGCATTATGGGGCGCATAATGGCCACCCTTGTAGCTCACGAGCCCACGCCCTCGCTCCAGACGGCGAGCGAGCAGTGCGGCAGTGTGTCGGCTAGCGCCCTGCAGCGTCAAAATAACTTTGCCGCCCCCTCCCTCCCCCTCCTTTCCCCACGGCGTCGAGGTAGTCCGCCCCGACGGCGTGTAGACCTCGGCGTCAAACTTGGCCAATAACACTGAGCAGCCCGGAGCGACACGGGCAGAACATCAGCGCCGCCGGCGGGGAGGCGGTGTGTAGGGGTTATGG